AATGATTGTACACATTCCAGTTAGGAAAGGTATGTGGGAGTCTTCATTCCCTGGATTTGGAATAATGACCGATGCAATCAATTCTGCCTGTTGTCATTTGTAGAAAACAATCAATCTGTTTGCAGGAAGACCGAATGAAAGCAGAGGATTTCTTTTTCCGATTTTAATCATTGGTTTTTTGCAAGCGGAGAATGGAGTGCTGCAATTCCAGCAGGAGTGAAATGAGGGGTGACCCGGTGACCGCTGGGGTCCCCGTGCTGGGGTGCCGAGGGGTTTCTGCACATGGGAGTCTCGGTGCTGTTTGCTGGTACCGCGCTGCAGCTCCGCATCTGATGTCTTCGGGAAGCACTTGTGACCGGCAGCCAGGGTAGAAAAAAGTGATTTCGAAGCTATGGATAGCTTAAAGGCAAAGTCAGCTTCAGGGCTTCTGCTGTTGCTGATTTCTTTGGGATCCTCTTAGTGTGATGGAGGAGAAATGTCTTTAAAATAAGAAAATCAATCTGGAAAGAAATTTACTACAGGAATGATTGATTTTTTTTTTTAAACAAGCATGCACACTTTTGCTGGATAACTGTTTCTTTTTCATAAAAGTATAGCATCCACGTTACAGCGTTGAAGGTGTACTTCCCCAGGTGCGGTCCGAGATGTAGGAGACGTGTTGGCTGCCGTCACGAAGGGTTTAATGACGGCAAGGCGTGAAGATGGTGCCTAAGCAGGTAGAGGGGCGGGATTTGCTCCTGCGTCGAGTAAGCGGGGTCTGCTCTGCTCCTGCCCTTCCAGAATGGCGAGGGGTGGTGTCAGCACCCTCCCGGTGGGACCCTTCGGCACCTCGGCATCACCAGGTTCGGGGCTGTGGCCAGGAGCGGGCCCAGGCGTTTGCAGGCTGGACCACAAGATGGCATTCCCTCCTCGCCAGGCACCGGCGGTGCGGGGAGGGCCTTGGGTGCTCGGGGATGTCGCTTCTGCCCTGGGATTTCGGCCACTGTCAGGTTTAGGCTGGTTGGGCTGCCTAACAGGAGGCAGGAAAGCTGCCCTTCGACACTTGGCTGGATTCTGCCCAGAATTGCTCTCGGGCGGCAGCACCGTGCTCCTGGCCGGCCCCAGCACCCCCCCCAACCGGTGCTGCTTGCCTGGGTCAGGCTCGGTGGCCATGCCTTGAGCTGCCAGGGACGTCCGGCGAGAGCAGGCCTGCTGCCTGTCCCTGTCTCAGCACCCCGAGCCCTCTCCCCTGGCGCAGGGGTGCTCTCTGCGGCACGGCCGGCCGTTGTGCTCTCTGAGCGGTGTGTGGTGAGCCTCGGTGTTTGGGCGTGTGCAGCGCTGTAGTAGCCACCTCTCTTCAGGCCATTCCAAATTCGGGAAGTCTTCGCTCTGTCCTGTGGCCCAACAGGAGGAGTTGGGGATGAGGATCTGTCAGTGTGACTTCTGGAAGGGATGGCAGCGCCTGCCCCTTCCTGAGCAGGAGAGGTGACGCAGGGCAGCTCGTGTTTGTGCTCGGGGGCAAGGAGACCGCAGAGCAGGGCTGAACCCGGGGGCTACCGGGAGCCCTTTGGACAGGGATGGGACTGCTGTGCCTCTGGTGCTGGGGGGGGTCGGGGTTGAGTTACTGCCGGGCTGAAATACCGGCCAGGCTGGGCTCGCTTTGTTCTCTGCTGCTGCTAGCTTTGGCGTCCCTGGGGAATGGAAACCTTGCAGCGAGGCTGTGGCTGGG